ACTGGAAGTGTCTTTGAAAGACATTTCATATTACACGTACCCAGTGATCCAAGGAAAGGCCAGCTTCATTCAGCTACCTAATTACCTGTCTGAGCTGTGTGTGCAGGGGGAGGGCTTGGCTTCTGCCCAGCACTGTGAGTTGAGCTTTATTTTGTGGGGGAAGAAAAAAAATCAGTATGAAGTTGAGTCTTCTCCTCTAAGTGTGTCATAAACTGAAACAGTTGGGCCTGATTTGTCACTCAGCTTTTCTGCCTGCGAAGGCAAGGAGCAGAGGTAACCAGACTGCACTAAAATACCCAAACTGTATCTTGTGACAAATGTTTCCTGAGGTTCCTGACTTCAGTGGAGACAGTGTGCCAGCAGGATCCTTCTCTGCAAGCATCTGAGGGTCATTTTAAAATCCCACTGTAATGTTGGTGTCACAAGGAAATAATGATGAAGTGAATGAAACTGTGTCTCAAAGCAGATGTATATGCTATGTTTAAGTGATAATCCTTTGCGATTAAAGGTAGTAATAGTAGAATTAAGTTGTGTCTCAGTAAAACACAGCTTGTGGTATCATCTCCAGAAGTTTAGAAACTTCTTCACTGGCCCAGGTGTATCATTCCTGTAGTCATTAGAATGATTCACTGAGCTGCGTGGACGTGGTCAGCAAAATAGCAGCTATGCATAATTAGTACCTGGGGGGATAAAATGTTAATTAACATAGAAAGCTGCTAATGATGGAGTCTGAGATGAGTGATGAGCTAGTGATGAATTCTGCAATCCTTCCTATCTTGTGAAAAGACTTCTGTCCAAGAGCAATGCTGCTGTGCCTGTTGCTGCCTGGTTGCACCTCACTCTTCTCTGAGAAGTCTGTGAGCTGAGCTGGGACGTGCTGCTGCCTCCATTTTGTGCACTGGTGTTCCAAATTCGAAAAAAGACAAAGATCCCAATTCTCACAGTTAAATTGAACACCTCCCTGTGCTTCACAAAGACTTTCTCATGCTCAGAAAGTTGAGTGTAAATGTGCAGGAGATGCTACAATTCCGGGATGTAGTGGGGTTTATCTAATTTGATAGGGCTGACAGCATTTTATTCTGAAATTCACTGAACCTTTTTTTGATCAAACCTCAAGTGGTTGCTCTGTGGGTAGGAGCAGTTCTGCACAGAGACAAACTTGCATAAATCGCTGGGTTTGTGGCATGGATGCATTAGGTGCTGCCAGCTGCTGGGTCTTTCAGAATGAAGCAAAGTAAGTAGGGCTCTTCTGTGGAAAAAGATGGGTTAAAAACACCATCTGCATCTGAAAACATCTGAAAACCCACCAGAACAGGGAAGTACAACTCCTTGCTAGTTGGCAGCTCTTAACCCTAGCAGCTGTTTTCTGACTGCTTGTGCAGCCCATGCTTGCATTGAGAAACCCTGCTGAGATAGGAGTGCGCCATGGCCATCATCACAGAGATGCTGAGTTTGGGACAGCTGCAGCTTGCACAATGCCCTGCTTGTGGAGCTGCTGCGTGCCTTGCTGGTGGGCCGCTCGCGTCATCTGTCTCCTGGGGGAAGTTGGCACTTGGGAGGATTTCAGCTGGGCTTTCCTTCTGTCTTATAGAGGAGGATGTGGGGAGGGGAGGGCAGGCACCCCAGAGGTGGTGCGTCCCGTTTTGAGTGCCCACATGTACTCAGTTGTTCACGTTCTGGGTGAATTGCCTGGTGTTAGAAAGCTCAGATTTTATGGGTGGGCCCAACAGCCCGGTTCTTGTCCAAGGAGTAAAAGGGTGAGTGAAAAACTCTGTTTGGCAGTCGTTTTGCCTTGACAATTACAATGGTTACAGCTTTTTATGGGGGTGGATAGTGATAGGACAAGGGGGAATGGCTTTAAACTGAGACAGGGGAGGTTTAGAGTAGATATTAGGAGGAAGTTTTTCCCCCAGAGGGTGGTGAGGCACTGGAACAGGTTGCCCAAGGAGGCTGTGGATGCCCCATGCCTGCAGGCATTCAAGGCCAGGCTGGATGTGGCTCTGGGCAGCCTGGTCTGCTGGTTGGTGACCCTGCACACAGCAGGGGATTGAAACTGGATGAGCATTGTGGTCCTTTTCAATCCAGACCATTCTGTGATTCCATTCCATGGTTTTTGTAGCTGTTTGCTCTGACAGCACTGATCAGAGCGTCCATGGTGTGCTTCACTTTATTCAGCCAGTGGTCTGGTGTGTGAACAGAAGTAGGACAGGTTGTTCTCTGAAATGGTGTTCTGTCTGGACACTGCTGCTTTTCTGTTTTGACAGTAGAAAGCGCCTTTCTTTACCACTCTAACATAAAATCATAAATAATGAATCAGCTATGTAGATAGCCCTTCCCATAATTCTGGACCAGCTATGAGTCCCCTGGGACTCGTATTCCAGGTAACATAACTCCATTAGTTCAAATTCTTTTCTCCTGTTTCTTCAGGGATGAGAGGAATGGGAAGTGTGGAGGGTTTTGCTTACGCTTATTTGCCACAGACTAGCCAGTGCTTTGAGTTACAGTAACCAAGTGTGGCTGGAAGAGTCACCCTGTTGCCTTGGCTTGATGCAGTGCAGAGATGGAGGTAATGGTCTTTAGTTGCACCAATGTAGGTTCAGGTTGGATATTACAAAAAAAATTTCTTCTTGGAAAGAGTGGTGCTGCAGTGGCACAGGCTGCCCATGGAGGTGGTGGGGTCACCATCCCTGGAGGTGCTCCAGAACCTTGGAGATGTGGCACTGAGGTCCGTGGGCATGGTGGCGGTGGGTTGACTGTTGGATTAGTGGTCTTAGTGGTCTTTTCCAACCTTAACAGTTCTGTCATTTATTTCTTCATAGTAAGCTTAAACTCTCTTGTGTTGAACAGAGATTCAAAAGATTAAACCACAACCTTCCTCCAGTAAGATTTTAGCAAGTGCTTTTTCACCTGGACATCACAGCTCTGTCAGTTTGAGCTGCTCCCAGGGGACTTTGCCTTGCTCCTGCTCAATGCACTTCTTTTGGTTTCAGCGGATGTTTATTTCCCTAAAACCCGAAGACAGGAAAGGTAGTATTGTGGAGGATAATATGAGGAAAAGCTTAGCAAACTGAAAAGTATTTGCTGTCTATTCCAAATGAGGGCATATTTGAGTGGAGGTTTTTTTGAGACATGCACCTGTGAGCGATGGAGCCATTGCTGCTGGTGTGAGCAGCCTGACATCAGAAGCCCATACTATGCTGAAGTATGCTTACGGTGTTGGTGCAGTGGGATTGCAGCATCTGCCCGTGCCCTCCTCCCTGCACGGCAGCTCGGGGATGCAGTCAACCCTTCTGTAAGAACGCGGCTGCGTGCAGTTCCTTGGCCCATGCCTGGCAGACCGTGTGTTTATGTTGTAATTCTCTGAAAATGTTGCCTGATCTTTCTGGGGAAAGAGGAGATAAGAGTTCAGTGGTGACCTTAATTCTCCTCTCTTTCTGTAGTTCAAAGGCTTGGAATAAAACCTGTGGGACAAAGTTCAAGCCAAGCTGTTGTTGACATTGGCCTGTGTGTTTCTTGGACATGGGCTGAGACATGGCACCGGCACTGAGCTGGGTTTCATGTTTCTGGTGCCCACTTAGGGAGCCCTGGCTTAGCAGGACACTGCTGCTGCTCTTACCCATGTGGTTTGACTGACCCCAAGTCTGGGGAGCTCCTGGGGAGCTGTGGCTCCTGCAGGACAGCAGGGTACGCATTCTGGGTACACGTGGATGGGTTACGGGGAGCCTTGGTACAAAGCTTGGGGATGTAGGAAGAGAGCGGTGGAATATTGCTGTAGTCTTGTTTGTTTGTTTGCTTCCTTCTTTTTCACTGCTAGGAGGAAAGCAGTAATTAATACAGCTGGATGTTAAATGCAGCACTGTCTGTTGGCTCTGACTCCTTCCTAGGGCTCTGTTTCCAAACTTAGCACACGCAGCAGCAGACGACGGCTTTCAGTTCAGGATCTCTCTTAGGGGGAGAAGTGTTGGGCAGTCAGCTTGTGCTTTTCTGTTCTATATATCTAAGGTAGTAGATATCCAGGTATCTAGGAACTCGATTTTAAATAAAGCAACTTTCAGAATGTTGTGTGCTGGTTTTTTGAATGAACTTTTTCCATTGCAGTGTATTAACGGAGCACTGTCAGAGCACTGCCAGTGGACAGTGGTATCGAAAGCAGTTAAATATGGGAAAGCAGTTTTACCATAAACCAGTTTGTCCCAAATATCTGTTCTTCATGATGTCATTGAAGTACTCCTTCTGAGCAGGATGGTCATGATTCTAAATTCTAACTTGAGGTCATACTTTGTTTATGTTTCTTGCTGATGGGAGTATGAAGGAGTACAGAGCATGTCACATCCAAAAGCAGCTAACACACTTGGCAATCTTTATAAGGGTATATTTATCCAGTAAACAGCATGTAATCGGATCTGGTAGGTTCCCGAATGTGGAAGATGTGCTGTAATGGAAATCGTGTTAAGGTTATGGTAAAGCTTCGAAAAGTCTTTTCTTTCCAGAGCTTTCAAGTTGCTTCTTACAGTCAATGTATGTGACTCACTTTCGTTTACCATCTTGTAAAATCTTTCAAGACTGATTTGGTTCTGTCTGAAGGCCTTGTTTGCCGTGCAGTGACTGAAAATGATGTCTGGTTTTCCTTGCTTCTGGGTGGACAAACCTTCCGAGCAGAACAACTCACTGAATTTAGTTCTGTGAGGGTTTGGCTCTGCAGCTTTTAATTAGTTTTAAACTGGAGGAGGCATTTAAATAGTGCTGTTGGATCAGCATTAGAACCAAAGCAGAACACACTCTGAGTAGCTTTTGCACTATTTCTGATAAAAGTTTAGGAGACCCAGTTGCTAAATTTAGGGATGTAATTCTAAAATAGGTCACTTGTCATCTGCAGTTTACATGTACCACACTGCTCATATTGGCTCATCTAGAAGTGTTGCTCTGCCTGCTACCAGGTATAAGGGGGTGACAGCTTGAAGGCTTATTTTAGTACCAATTGTCTTTTCCTTGCTTTGCAGGAAAATCTTCACTGACGATTCAGTTTGTGGAAGGACAGTTTGTTGATTCCTATGATCCAACCATAGAGAACAGTAAGTACATAACTGATAAGCTGCTCTTCTGTAACTAACTGTATCAGAAGTCTTTGTTGTAATGTTGCTATGTCAGTGATAATACCAGCTCATTACTTTAACAGGTAAATGCACTGAATGTTGAGCCCCTGTCTGGAAGTTGGAATAAAGTAATCAGCAGAACGAGGTTTTTGATTTATACCATAATAATTAGCAGTCAGTGGCCATCAGCACATTTTACTCAGGATTGTTTTACTGGATAGAACTGAACCTCAGATACTACTTTTTGAAGAATCTCTTGCTTTGCTTTAGCAAATCAAACTGGTTAATGTGTTCCTTTGACCTAAATGATCTGATTGTCTATGTATGAATGTTCAAACACTATTATGATGAGGTGTTTTATTAGAATTGTAAACAAGGCTTGTTTTGAGATGCATCAAACAAGGTGTCGCATGCATTAGATTTCATTATTTTAAATCTTACCATAGAATCATAGAATGGCTTGGGTTGGAAGGGACCTCAAGGGCCATCAAGCTCCAGCCCCTCTGCCACATGCAGGGCCACCATTTTAACATCTCTTGGGTCAGGTAACTTTTCATTGTCTGCACTTTACAAATGCAAAGTATTTAAAGTAAACTTGTAGATGTCTGTAGATATATGGGAGTGACTTAAGAGACAGGGGGTCAGAGGCTGTCTCTAAAGTGTGGAGAGTGCCTGCATGTCTTGGTTTAGGATTTTGGCACAATGGTACGAGACTGACTCCTTACAAACTCTTATCCACAGAAATATATTGGCTGTAATTGGTGCTCTCCAGCTGTGCATCTGTCACTGGCAGCATTTAACTACGTGTACTCATGTTAAAATGCCTCATACAGATTTACTTTCTACCTGGTTTTGGTTAGTCTATGTTTTTCCACTGGGTTTCATTATGTGTGGATGGATGATTCATTTGTAGGTGAATTCTGCACGTATTTGGCTCTTACTTGGCACTGCTCACTTAATATGAAGTGTGTTGTGGCCATGAAAACTGAGCAGGGGGCATCTTGAAAATGTCATCATTTTGTGTGACTCCTTTGTATGGAAAACAAGCAGCATTATTATTTTGCTGGAAGCCTTGTGATCTGTGGCATAGCTGGAGAAAGTTGCTTTCTGAAAGGTAGAACTGAAGGGCCCTTCTTCTATCAGGAGATTTGTTGCTGGGGAGTAGGGGTGAGACCTAGAAGATATGCCCTGGGGATCAAAATAGCAGGAAGCCTAGTAAAAAACCATTCTTCTGAATGGTCTTTCTTCATTTCTTTTATGTGCTTTTTATGAATGCAGACTCTTGATGGGTCAAGTCTTTTGACATCTCCAGCTATATGCTTTTGAGCCTGTCCAGAGTTGTGAGACACAATCAGTGTAACCAACTTTTAGTGTTTTACTCACTTGTGATTTTGAATCTGGTTAATGATGCCAAAGGGGGTTCAAGAATCCAGGTTCCTGTAGAAGAGTCTGTTGAGAATGCTGCATTTTTCATAGAATGATAGAATGGCCTGGGTTGAAAGGGACCTCGAAGATCATCTGGTTTCAGCCCCCTGTGTGCAGGGTCACCAACCACCAGACCAGAGCCACATCCTGGGCATCCAGGACTTTCTGCAGTGGTTTAAAGTGGGCTGTCATACTTCTAACTTCCATGTAGGGATTGGGTGTGCTCTAGTGGTACAGCACTTATTTTTTAAGTATAGGCTAAAGGATGGCCTGGCCTGTGTAAGCTCTGTTTTATCTCCAGAAAATTGCAACTGACAAATCATCAAAATATTATCAGCACTGATAAATGGCTGGAAAACTGCAGTACCAATGGTAACTTAGTCTGCAGTTTTTGTCTTCAAATATTGTAACTTGCATGAAAAATGGAGTTTAAAATTAAATTTAAATTGCATAGGAAGGAAACTATAGCTAAGCTTTTTCTTAGGAACAAGTGTAAAATGTAAGTCTTGAACTAAAAGGATGTGACTGAGTATTCTAGTGGCTTTGTTTTCCAGTGGAAAAAACCTCTACCTTCTTTGGAAGGGGCACAGGGAAAATGAGCTGCATCAGGTTTCACTCAATGTACAGAAAAGTCAGCACTTCTTCAGTGCTGCATTTTCCTTTGCTTCCATTACATTAGAACCAGAAAAGTTAGTTTATCTAAGCTAATAAGCACGTTGAATTCAGTTGCTTCCAGTAAACTTGTGCATCAGGAAGGGTAACTCATAGCATTTTGTGGCAGCAGTGATGGTGAGTTAATTGCTTAACAAAGTAGAATTTCCTCTTCCTAATGTCCTAACAAGAGTGACGCTGTGATGGGTGGCTGTTAGCGAGGCAGCAGGGTGGAGAAACCAGTGGGACAATCACTTGGGAAATGGTGGCAAGAGAAGCAAAGCCATTGCAGAGCAGGAGCGCATGGAAGGAGCCTGTATGGACACTGAGCTGGATGGACACAGACTTTCTCAGCTCTTTGTGGAAAAACAGAGGAATTTGGAACTCTTAAACTGGGATCAGCCAAGAATCTTAATTTGGAACTCAAGTCAGAAGGAATAGAAAACAAGAATGTGCACACAGCTCCAGTATTTTTTGGTACAGTTGTCGTTAAAAGGGTGTTAGAAAAGGAAGGAGGCTGAAGGCATGCCAGTGGTTGTGAAGGCAATGCATGTAGGCTCACGTGGTAGCCTAAAGGCATCCTTAAGGCTCAGCTGCCATGTGCATGAAGCCTTGCAAGGGTGACAGCATTGTGCTTGGAAGCTGCTGCTGAGCAGTGTTCTCCAGGGCTGGGCAAGGGGCTGTAGCTCTGCTGTGTTACACACCTGCTGCAAAAGCTGTCCTGGTGATAGGCATTGACTTGGACTGAAGACAGTCAGAAAGGGTTGCAGAAGGTAGTAACTGATGTGCCCTTATGAGGAGGTTATATTTACCATTCAGTAGCTCTGGGAAAGGTTTTATACTGCTCCCCTATCTCTGTTCAACAGCGCTGTTGATCTGAAGGTCTGTGTTTGTGTGCCTGGCTCTGAGTCCTTAGCACAGTGGCTTGTTTTCACAACAGCTGCCATTTGAGCAGCATTTGCAAATCTTCTCATTCATGTTTGTGTCAGTGAAATAACTGATCTTAGGCAAGCAGTAGTCAGCAGCCCATGGAGTTGCTGTGCAAGTCACACTGCTTCTTGGCTGTAGCAGCTGCTGGGGCTGTGCTGTGCAATTACAACTGCATCACAGTGGGTTTGTGCCAAAGGAGGAGGCTTTCGTGGTGCTGGGAGTCCCTGCTTTGAGCTGGCAGCTCCTTGCCCAGCCTGCAGTAACTGCCCCACAGCTTCCCTTCCCTGCTGTGCCACCCATTGCATGGTACCAATGGTGATGGTGTTTCTGCTTGGTCTATTCTGGGCTTCTAGAAGAGCTGCCATCTGTCCCTGTCCCTTTTTAAATATTAACTTCATGATGCTCTTGTACCTACTTTGATTGCAGAGTGCTTTGATGTGGATGGGAGTTGTTGGGAGTCTGGAGGGTGCTGTGCCCTGGCACCTGTAATGCACTGTGTCTTCTTCATGTTTGAAGCACTGATACAGCAGCCCTGCATGTTAACATCTGTTCAACAAAAAATCAGTCAAAAAGCTATTGTGCTTTCTTGCTTCATCACCCTGCAACCTTGTGCCGTGGTGCCAGCAGCTCGCTGACTGCAGTGTGCAGGCACAGGTGCTAACACAGCTGCAGTGCTGGGACAGGTGGGGTATGGTTGGTAGGAGCTCTCTGTGAAGCTTCATTCGCACTGCTCGTGTTGCTACTGTAATGGAAGCTGCGTGGCTGCTCTGTGCTGTGCGTGTAGACACTTGCCTTACAGAATCATTAAAATCATTAAGGTTGGAAAAGACATGCTAAGATCACCATGTTCAACTGCTGGCCTGTGCCCACAGTGCCACATCTCCATGGTTTTGGAATACCTTCAAGGACAGCGACTCCCCCACCTCCCTGGGCAGCCTGTTCCAAACAGCAAAATGTGGCTTTGTTGTGTTTCAGTTGCTCCTTTTCATGAGCATGCTTTGAGTGACTTAGGCAGGCTGAATCCAAGAGTTTTGGCTGTCTTCAATGTGGGGCTAGCCCAGTGACTTGAGGTAATATGTTGTGGAGGTGTGACAGAGCAGCAAGCACTGGGGGCAGGAGGAAAGCTGGTGGAGCTCAGCTTCAAGGAGACGCTGTGCAAGAGTCAGGAGGTGTGAGCAGAAGCTAGCTGGCACAGCTGGATGGAGGAGGACTGCACAGCTGGATGGAGAGGAGTCAGCTCTGCTGCAGCTTGAGGATGAACATTCTGTGGTCAGCACAGCACTGCACTGCTGGCTGTTTCCCCAGTAATCATCGTGAGGAACGAAATGACTTCCTCTGACCATTAGCAGCTGGGAAAACTGCCTTCACCTGTATACAACGCACACGTAACCAATATGTGTGTGCTGCCCCGTGATGTCAGGCTGAGGGCAACATGAAGCCCTGGAGCTCAGCTTGCGTGCTCTGGTTGGTATGCGTGGTACTCAGCAGCACGTTGTGCTCCACGAGCTCTGACACAGTTTGCTTTTGCAGTTGCATAATGCAGACACTGAGAAAGGTTCCTCAGCTTGCAGTGTGTTGGCATTTCATAAACCCTGGGAAGAGCAGCAGTTCTCATCTCGTAGGAACCAAATGTACTTCCTGACTAAGGACTGAACAGACTGGTAGCTGCGGCGAATGTGCAAGTACTGTGGGGAGCTTCAGCTAAATTCTCATTATTTAGGTTTAGCATGTTCTTCAGTTAGCTTGTGTGTGTATCTTAGCCCCAAAGAGGTTTTTGTAAATCCAGATCATTCACCTCGTGGTATTGGTATCCAGGAAATCGATCTCGCTAAACTGCTTGGAAACTGGGGGAAATAACCTGTGTGAAGTTCAGAGTTAGCTTTAATGTTAATTGCATTTGTGTCTCATGTTAACCACAAATTACAGATGCCTGCAAGTCTCTTTGAAATGATGTGTAGCAGTAGAGCCTTTCTACTCTTTGTTTCTAAGCAGCTCTAAAGGAAAAAAAACCAAAACATTTTGTAAGAATCTTCTGAAATTTGAGATTTTAAAGTCAATTTCTAAGTTTCAATACCTACAGCAACTGAGTTAAAAGCACAGCAACCTGATGCAGCCTTCTAGTTTAAAGCCTGTAACTGATGTGTTCTTAACCCGTCAGCTAGCAGTGGCAGAGATGAGTGACTTCTGGTCTTTTCTTTGTTCATCATTCTGAAATGTGTACCTGCTGTTTTTTATTCTAGCTTTTACGAAACTGATCACTGTAAATGGCCAAGAATATCACCTTCAGCTGGTTGACACTGCTGGCCAGGTAAGTACCTTTCTCCCTTTGCATCTTTGGAGTTAACACAACAGACGTTGGAGCTTGGGAAGAGCTACCCTGATTGTGACCATGTCTTCAAAGCTGAAGCTCAATTTCAATGATTCCACTTTATTTTGTTCCCCCAACAGTGTTTATGTAGTGTTTGTGTAACTTTTTCTATTGAAATTGAAACAGTAGCTAGTGCTTAAAGTACACATGCCTAAAAAAGCAAAGAAAGAGCTCCCTTCAGTGTATCAAAGTTCTTAAGTAATCTGCGTGATACTTATGGTCTGGTAGTCTTCATTAATTGGAAAATGCCAATTCAGTAAGCCGCGCAGAAGTTTTTCTTGCCTTTCTTTAGTTTCTGTGCTCCAGCACCTTGGTTTGTGTTCATGCAATAGTCAGGCAGAGTAGACAGCAGCACGCATGGGCAGCGCTCAGCAGGCTGCAAAGAAACTCCTGCAGTTTGTTTACATTGCTAAGTAAGTGAAGGTTCATGCATGCTTCTGAGTGTAATGAGGGGGAATGCAGAAGGAGATGGTAAACAAATGTCTGTGGCATGATCAGTGGCTTCATAAAATAGAGGTGCTAATTACACAGGGATGCTTGGCAGGACCTGCAGGTGAGTGTGTGCTCCATACACAGGAGTGCTCTGTCTCTTGAAGGGCTATGATTAAAAAAGGGACTGCTAAGTCCCTTACCATCTTCCTGTTTGCATGCTCTTACTTTCCGAGTGACTTCTGGTATCGTGCCTTTGGGTTTTCCCAAACTGTTAGTGTTAAGCAGCCAGTACAGTACACAGGCAATGCTTTAGGCATGAAAGCTGCAGGACATTTGCTCATAGCTGGAAGAGTATTCAGGGCTGTGACCTTCTAGGACTGTTTGATCACTTTCAAAGAGAGCTACATGATGTAAGAATAACTGTGTGCCATAATTACATGCTGTCAGCTTGTGGTGCTAATCAGCAGCACTAGATCCACAAGTGATCAGTCAGAGAGTTTAGTAACAGCATTGACCACACATACTGGGGTCATAAATACGTTGCTTGGGAAATTGAAATTAAATAGAATTGCACAGCTAGTATTTTTCCCAGTCTGGTCATTTCCAGCCTTGATTCTTCTGTGAATGACTTGAACTTTGAGTTGTGGCTCACATGGGTTAGAGGGAGAGATAATGTTGGGTTATGGAAGGTGTGGTTTGAATAAATTTCTCTCAGTTCAGCCTTGCTTAATGATTCATAGAGCATCCTTGCGTATGCAGTATAGCAAAGATTATATTGCAGATTTATGTCGTGCACTTGAAAACTTGGCTATAGTGTGAAAAATTACAGCTCTGCTCATTTTGTCACTTAGCAAAGCTCTCAATTTGATCCCCGAGTTCCAGGAAGCTTAATGGTCTTTTTTTTTTTTTCCTTTCCTGACAAGCTAAAAAATAGTTTTCTTGGTACTTGTTTTCTGTCTTGTGCCTCTACCTCTCACAGTTACATGTTCAGGTTTACATGGTGGAGTTAAGAGGAGGCTCACTGTGGGACCTCAGGACAGGATGCAACAACAAATCTTATCTGAGCCTGAATTCAAACTGTGGCAATCCTCAGTAATTGCAGATCAAGGCAAATAACTGCAGAGCTGCACTTTCACCTGTTTTACTTGCAGGCCAGCTCACATCTCTCTGTGTTGACACTGGGATTACACAGCCAGCAGAGAGGGCAGCTTGGCATTTAAGCAGAGGTGGGGGAGGGCTGCCCTCAGTGTGTAGCATTAAAGGCAAATAAGGGCATCGTGTGCAAGTGTCGTTCTTTCAAACTTTTTTGGCAGAATCTGGGAAGTTGATTTATGAAAGGTTGTGGGGTTTTTTTGGCATTTGCCTATTAAGGAAGTTGCTTTCTGTTAGCTGTCTAGATTTAAGCTGCATGATTGCACCGCTCCATCTGTTCAGTCATGACAATATACAGGGAGGTTATGAATCTTCAGCTAAAATTAACATCCTAAGAAACACAAGCTTGAAAAATGGAGAGCTCGTACAGTAAGAGGTATGGCTCTTGTCAAAATGCAAATGTTACCTGGGAACTTCTATTAGAATGTTTCTATTTCAGTGTTTAACATGAAATTCTTAGTATGAGCATTGTGTTTTCTGCATTCTGTCAATCTGTTTCAGTTACTGAGTTGTTCATTTGCATTTTTACAGGCATTGTAAATTTAGAGATTTATTGCCTGGGTTTGTTTTTCACATTGCTCAGTGCTGGTGGTGGTATTGCTTTGGTGCTTTTTTATTTTTTATTAAACAACTGCCATACAATGCAAACTTCTGGTAGCCATAAAGCAGCTAATGCCTACAGTTCTTGCATCTGTGATGAGCATTAGTTAGTTTGGTGTGCCACAGCTGCCTAACAGACCCCGTAAGTAAGTTAGTTGTGGTCAGTGCCTTTTGAAATGTGGAACTGCTAGATCCTGTCTGCAGCTGCTGAAATTTGGGATTTGATGGAAATGTATCACTAGCAAGGTAAGAGGTGTAACTGCTGATTAGTGGTAGGACAGAGTGGATGCTTTGTGCTAGGGTAAACTGATAACTGAGCAGTGTAAGAGGATTGGGGATAGCTTTAGCTGATCTGCAGTCTTAGAGGGAATAAAGAGAAAAAGCTGTAGATTAAGTTGTAGAGTATACAGACTAACAGGCTAACTTAGCTGGTGCCCCAAGCTTGCTTTGCTTTCTCTTAATTGGGTAAAGATTCCACACCAGGCATTATGATGAACCTAATTCTTAGAATTACACAAAAATATTCTACAGATGTAACCAATGGCTGCTGCTGATGTGCTAGTATCCAGCTCTCAGCATTGGCAATAAATAATGCAATTGCAATATTCCTTCTACAGGATGAATACTCCATATTTCCTCAGACATACTCCATAGACATCAATGGCTACATTCTTGTTTATTCAGTCACGTCAATAAAAAGGTAACAAAGTCTGTTGTGTTCTCCTGCTTCACGTTTTAGCCATATACATCTCAGCTCAGCTCCTGCCTCTGCTTTATTTTTCTTTACGTATGTGTAATCCCTTCAGTCTCTTAGCTTTAGAAATGTAATTGAAATACAAAAGAATGGCTTTTTTAGAATTTTCCCCTCGCATCCAAATGGCCCTAGCACTTTGCAGACCGAAGCAGGAGGTACTTGTGTGAGAAATGGGGCAGTGCTGAGCTCCAGTGATTGAGTGTAAGTGAAAGCACACAGACTGGTCCCAGGAACAAGCAGGCTTTGTGCTGTAGCATAAGAGGCAAAGATGGAGTCCAGCACGAACCACAAGGGCACTGCATGTTTGTGTGAAGAGCCAAGCTAGGTGTTCATCTTCCCTCAGCCTAGCAGCTTGTTGCAGTACTGAGACTCCTTTGGTTTCCCATCCTGACTCACTCTGGTTAACCATCAAAAACTTTGACATAAGCAGCAATATGAGACTTCTGGCCTGTAGGTTCAGTCTTGCTATGCTACAGCAAATCTCTTCTTTGAGATTTTTCCAGGGTTTCTGTCTAGTCCTCACTGCTAACTATAGTCAGTTGTCACATGAGGACAGGCTCCATCATAGCTGGAGAAGCACTTAGAAGTGTCTCAACCTTTTTTAAGGTATTGTCAACTTCTGTTATTTTATCCTTTCACTTTGGTCTACTTGATTTAAGTGCAGGTTAACTTTGAATCACTCTTAGTTTCCTAATACTGTACAGCATCTTCAGCCAAAATAATCCTCTTTTATTTTCTCATTTGTTGAAAATGATGTTAAGACCTGAAGCCTTTCACTTCAGATAGAAGAAAAGCACTGCTTCACTTGCAAGCTGACCAGCTTTTGGCAAGCGCTGAAGCGCTCCATGTCTTTTCCTCTAAAGCAGGAAAAAGTCATCTTGAGTGTCTTTCAGTAAACTTCACAAACTGCAGGTGAAACAGCTTTCTTGTTGGCTCTTCTGTACTTCTCAGAAAGTGGATGTGATCTGGTCGTCAATTTTAGCTGCTTCTGAGCTCTTCAATGTTGAGCAGATTTTCAGTTCTTCATTCTTGGAGTTCTTCATTCTTGGTTTTTGTCAGTAGTTTTGAAGTAGTGAACAGAAAGCACGTGTGTTTTGGGGGAACTGCAGCAGATGTGAGGCTTTCATGTGTGTCTTAAGAAACTACTTTTTTTTCCTTCTTTTTTTCTCCTTCCCTTAATCAGAGATCTGTTGTTGGTGCTGAGTGACCTGTATAAAGTTGGAGTAGTATTCCCAGTCCTAAGAAGAAATTCACGTTGTTCAATATTTGAATCTTGATCAACTTAATCCCAATTCTTGCTTTTTTTTGTTTGAAATTTCAGACTATTGATGATCCTTTCTTGTTCAGTTTCTTATCTAAGTTCAGTATCAAGATGGTGTTAAGGCAGCAGTAAAGATCTTCCACTGTGCTCTGGTAACTCAGATGTCTTTCCCAGGAAGCACGTGTCTCAGTTTCTGTGGAAGCGTGGTATCGATCGCAGTGCTGATCCAACTGAGTGGGAGCTTTGACATCAAACTAAATAGAAATGTCCTCTTAAAATTATTTTCTTCCCTGCTGATCTCCACTGGGAAGTTTATAATGGGGCTCGAGTGAAAGCTGATGCCCTACATTTGTAATATTCCCAGACTCTCAGCTGCAAGGTTACTGGAAGGCTTTTGCTCTAGTTCAGCTTAATTAAATTCCAAATTTGTATCATGCTATGTTCCATGATCTTGTATAGCACAGCTGGTAATCCTTCAGGTTGTGTTTCACACTGCTTTCCTGTAACCCTGTTTGCTTAACAGAACTGGAAAGGACCTCTTGTGGTCTGCAGACCTCTTGGTGTTTCATGACTTGGTGTGACGTTGGTTTGGTGTTTTGTTTTCTTTTTTGGAGGGGGGTGGGATTTGTTGATAAGGGTTCTGATTTGTGCCTTTGCTCCTTCCAGTTTGAGAAAGCTTTCCAAATTAATTAAATTGATCCAGTCAGTCCAGTTTCATTCTGGATAGTTCTTGCCAACTTGTTTCTGTGCCAGAATCGTGGGAATTCAAATAGCCTTCCCTTTGGTTTTCACCTTGATCTATTAATAAAGATCAGCTGTTAATCCTTGGTCTATTTTGCTAAAAATTGAGCTCTAGATGAGCAGAAACTGAGAACTGAGCAGCACAAGATGGAACCACAGGTGAGGGCATGCACTGTGCTGTGCAGTGGTGCAGTGTTTTTCTGGCTACACTGGCAGCAGCTTACCGAGTAGCAGAAACAAAGTGATTGTGTTACATTGGTGACTCAGTCATCCTGTGGCTAATATGCTACATCTCTCCTCTTGCTTCAGGCTGAGAAACAGTCCTGTGGTCTGTACCAGAATTACTTCGAATGATTTCTCCTTCAGTTTTCAGGGTCATCTGAATATCTCTGTAGTGTTGCCTCTGCACTTGGTCACAGCTCAACACCATTTGACTCTTACTTCTGAGATAGTCTGCTGAAAGTCCAAGACCAGTTCTCAAGCCCAGAATTTCTCTTACACCTTTTCAGCATAAGTTTTTCATAGCCCTTAATTCCTTCCATTGATTCCACATTTACTGTATTCTGTACTATTGTATTTGAATCAGTAACAGCAAGATGTGCTGGACTGAGTTCTTTTTGTACACAATTAATTTCTGGATATACTATACAGGATATACTAAATCTGTTAGCTCTGCATGGAAGTTGAGTTTTGCTCAGTCTGTAAAACTGTTGCTGAAGTAATGCAAACAGACCTCCTTGACACAAAATCCTTCTGAACCACAGTACTGTTTGTTGCTCAGAAGTGAGAAGCTCTAAGGAGTCCCAACAGCCTGAGTAGTGCTTTCAGACACCAGTTCCTTGAGAACCAGAGCTTGGATGTACATTGGAGTGCTGCCCCATTTGTGAGAGCTTCAATTCTAATTTAAGCACAGAAGTGAGAACCCCTTTCTTGTGTAGCCGTGTGTTGGGTCTGTGAACCTTCACCTCTCTTAAAGCTCAGGTGTGCACTTCATGCACCTGCATCTTTTTTCCAGTGTAATCAGAAGAGCACAGCATCTGCTCTTTCACTCTGTTGATAGCTTGTTCTCTAGTGGTAAGTGTCAGACGTGGGGTTTCAGGCCTCACAGTGTTGTGCAGTGCTTTTCCTTATCTCCAGTCATGCAGACATCACGTGGGCAGCAGGTGAGCTGTCAGGTGCCTCAACAACCACTGCTTTGCTGCTGTCTTGCACATCAGGTTCCTCACTATCGTAAAGAAATTAGAACTCGGCCTTCTCTTGGTTTTCACAAAATGCCAAAACAAAATTCAAAGAATTCTGTATGAGTCAAGATCTATTAAAAGTTATGTATTCCTTCTTGTTGGATTGTGCTTAATTGAATGCTGTTCCTTTGAAATTCTGCTTCAATTTGACATGTCCATCCAGGTGTGTCGGGCTCTAGTAGCTGAATCTCTTACTGTGAATGCAAACCAGATTCGGGGGGCGGGGGGGGGAGAAGGGGGCTTTTTGTGTGTTAGCTGCACCTGTCCTGGGTAACGTTGTTTATTTCTGCAAGCATCAGAACTGGGTGGGCTGGAAGGATGTGCAAAGTCCTGTTTGCTGCTGCCTCTGGGACCGTTTTGTCTGTTGTACGCAAACCAGTAACACTTCAGCATCTTTGTAGTTCTGTCACTATACGTAATTTTTAACACAGCAATCTACATATGCATTTAATTGCTTGTGTATTGATTGGGTATTAAGGATAAGCATTGGAGTGCACGTGTGACTTCATCCCTTTATTTTGCAGTTTTGAAGTGATAAAAGTTATCCATGGCAAGTTATTGGATATGGTGGGAAAAGTCCAGTAAGTAGTGACACTTTCATCTCATTTCACTGCAGGCATGTTGCTAATACTTTGTTCAGTATACTATAACTATTCTGAAGTTCTGAACTTTCTTTCACAGAATACCCATTATGCTGGTTGGAAATAAAAAAGACCTGCATATGGAACGGTATGTGAACTCCAGTATGTGGGAAATGCAGGGCAGCAGCCAGCATTCCTGTGGCTGCCATGGCCAGTTTTGTTCTTGGCTTTCCATCGCTAAAATCAAAATATAGATTACAACAAAGGTACCAGCAGGGAATTTTGTCCAGAATGTGTGCTAGCAGCTTCTGTTGTAATGTTGATTCTTGCTAAAAGCTTCCAAAAAAAGTAGCTGAACATTTCTTTCAAGACAAGTAAGGAAGTGTCTTTTTTACCACTTTAAGACGTGAGATGATGCTGCAGCTTAGGCAGACAAGTCAGTGTTTGGGACAATTGCTTTCTTCTGGGTCACACAGAAGTTGTGCCTGGCCCAGCAGTGAGTTTGACAGCAAGGAATAGCAATTGTTTGGCCTTTCAAAATGTCATAACTGCCTTCAGTGCTTCAGTACTGTGGGGACGTTCCTGAAGCTTCAGTCCTTATGTGAATTACAAAGAAACATGCTTTCCTCTCTTTTGCCAGGGTGATCAGCTATGAAGAAGGGAAAGCTTTAGCAGAATCCTGGAATGCAGCTTTCTTGGAATCTTCTGCTAAAGAAAATCAGGTAACAGATTTAAGATTCACTTATTTGAATAGCAGTGCTGTGGAATGTCTCGTAGTTTCACTTAATAAAGGAAGCTAAATATCTGCACGTCCTGTCCAGATAGCTTGTGTAGATGGCTGGAAACAAACTGGGTGTCTGCATTCAGGTTTACATGTATGTGCTTTTTGATGCAACCATAAGTTAACAGGAATGGAGAACTGAAAGTTGAGCTTTGCTGAACAAAACAAAACAGTTGGTGGCAAACTCAAACTTGCACCTCTGCTGTGTGTGGAGCAGGGCCTGTGATCTGCTGTAGTGACCTTGAATAGAGATCTTTGCTGCTTCATGGGGGTGAGTTGGTGTAAGGGAATGAACCTCATGTTTTAGGCAGGAGCTGGTCTGTCTGGTGGGGGGAATGATAGTTGTATGGGCACAGAACTAAGGAGAAAAATGTTTGACCAGAGCAGAGGCAGGCAGATACTGATGTGTTACAGATGTAGTGAAGTTGCTTTAACTTCCTTCAAAACACCTTCTCAATATATTCTGGCATTTGAACTTGTCCTTGTGACTTATCATAACGCTTTGTCACTGATTTGATGCCCTACACTTGAGTATTTAAGCTACAAGAACCTACTGGTTTGAGCTTGAAGTAATTAAAAGCTACTATAGGTTGAAGGTGCCAGCCTCTCTAACTTATTTTGTGTTGCTTTTTTATTGTTGTTGGTCTTGCCAAAGTCAGTACTGTTGCTTCTTGCAGATGTGGATGTATGGTGGGATCACAGGGGCACTGGCAGGCTGTGTTTAAGAAATCTGTCCTTATGCACAAGTGCTTACATTACCTCCTATTTAATCTAATACATCCTTAGGTGTTCTCAGCAGCAGTCAGAAGGGCAGTCCCATAGCTAGGGCAGCACCTGCATGAGCAGCCTTTCTTTTCCCACTTTTCAGCTGTGAAGCAAGCAGCTGCTGACTGATAACTTGTGGCTCTGCTGGTAGCAGACACTTGGGTAAGGTTGGATTTTCCCTGGAGGGAAACTTGCAGTTTTTTTTCTCCACGTATGGAATTAGTTTCTAAGTACTTCTGTTTCTGGCTAAGAGTTGCACTAACCGTGTCAGAACGGGCTGTGATGAAAGCATGCAGTTTCTTAGTATCTTTACTTCTGGAGAGCCTCAGATGCATACCTACCTGCAGAAACTAAACTGCCAGCCTGAGGAATAAAGCAGTTAAAAGAATGAGATTAGCTATTTTCAAACAACTCAGTACTTCTGGAATAGGCAGAGCCATTGTTTGTCCTTTTTTTGGACGTGGTTCACAGTGTGTAACAGTGTAGTAATTCATATCTTAGAGAATATCTTACTAATAACTCTTGTGAAGTTTGTATTGTGTATTGTCTTGGTTCAAAGAAAAAAAGGAAAGCTGTGTATATTTATGCAAAGAAGCTACAAGCTTTATATGATGCTTGGCATGCCTTGCATATTAAATTGCTGTGTTAACAAAGTCCCATTGACTGCCATGTATTTGTGTCTGTCCCTTGGTCTCAGAGTATCTGCATTAAGTTAGCTGCTAGCTGAAATTCGTATGGGCAACTGGTGCTGGGGTAGAACTCCTCCTTGCTGTGGACATTACAGTACAGCAGTATGGTCATGTCTTGTGTGTAATGCACCTGGAAACTGGCTGACCTGAGATGTTCAGGAGGTGGTGTGTTGCTTTGTGGGCATCTGATGGGCTCCATGGATGTGTGGGATGTATGTGAGAAAGCATAATGGAGCCCAGAGGGGGGCAGCTCTCTTCATGTTCCTGCAGACAGTTGCTGAAGGAGGTGGATGATTGAGCTTGTATAAGGTATAAGGCCTGAAGCTGTGAGGTTCTAGGGATAAAAGAAGTCTCGTCTCTGAAATCAATCTGCTTTTGGTAGATGTGGAGCTGGAGTATGACAGTCTGTGGTGTGCTGGTCTGAAATTGGTTTGGTACGTGGGGCAGCCTACAGAGAGACTGTAGGCTGATTCCAGTTTGACCTACTTGGTCTGTCCTTTATAGCAGCTCTTAGCAAGGAATTCAATTAAACTCTAAAAGGAGAGGAGGCATTCCCTGTTAGAAGTTCTAGCAGAGGCTTCTCTCTCTCTCTGTGAAAGGAGGTGGGAAAGCATTGACTCATCTCCCTTCCTGCTTTGCCCAAAAAAACCCAAAAACTATTTGGAGCATCTGTAGGAGTCCTAGGAACAAATCCCTGCTGCAGCAGGCAGCTCAAATGGTTGTGCAGATGAACTTAATCCAACCAGGCCTGTTCTGCTGGGAGTTGTCAGAAGACACCATACTGATGAAATGGCATGGCTTTGGCTCTCCTACTTCCCATCTATTAGGAGATCTAAGCTGACATGAGGGTAAGTGGTAGAGGCTGGTAAGGGTACCTCGTGTCTGATCTCCTTTAGGCTTTGTGTCCTCTCTTCTAGATTTTGGTGGCCTGCTAAGGCTTTGGAGCTTGTGCATCATACTGGGCACCTGGGACTTTGAGAGGGCAATTCTGGGCCCAGGAAAAGATGCAGGTTAAACTAAGTCTTGGTTGGAGATCATCGGCCAGATTGGGTGAATGCTTCCTACAAGAAGAATTTGGGGTATTTCGGGGCTTTTTTGGGTTCATTCTAAAAGTCAACTTCAAGCTGGAAGTGTTTAAGGACATCGTGTATCTTGTAAGCAAAATGCGAGGCACGCAGGATCGCATCTTTCTGAGCTCTGACCTGGAGCTGAGTTCAGGTATTAAATCCCTTCTCTGGGCCCTAGATGTGCTTGTTGTGTTTTTTCAAGCTGCTTGATTTCTGGATGTGTTGAGGTGCTGTGTATCTATGAGGTTAACTTCAGGAGCTTCATTCAGGCTTTTCTTGGGGAATTTGTTGCTTCGTTCCCCTAAGCCACAGCGCAGTGCTTTGTCTTTAATCCCAGCACAGTAAATTGCTAATGGTGTGAAATACAGCCAGAACCCAGATTGGTCCCTAAACCTGCTTGAAGGCAGAGAGTAATGAGCATTCATGTGCCCATCCACTTACACAGAATTCATTAGAAGGGTTTATTTTAGAAGGGGGAAGGAAGTAGTAAAAATAAAAAAACAATTTAAAAAATCCACTGCTCACCAAAACAACTCTCCTGAAAATGAGTTCTGGGACGTTGCTGCTTTTTCAAGAGTAGTTTCATATCCAAGCCTGAAAGGTGCAGTGAGTGAGGATGCTGAGAGGGGCTCAGAGTCTTCCCCCCCCTCTCCTCCCTCAGGGATTTGGGAGTGATTTCCCTGGGAGAGCATTTGGGGGGAGGGAAAATGCTCTTCCTTACCTGACTATTGTTCGAGTTCCTTTGCCCAGCTCTGTGCCAAGAACAACCAGTAGCAGCAGCAGAGAATTTCCTCTCCAAAATCACCAAGCAGTTGTGCTTGGAAAGCAGCACGGAGCTGAGCAGCAGCTGTGGGCTGGGTTTAGGGCTTCAGACCTTCCCATTTGTGCACCTCCTGGGCTCTGTTCCTTCGGCATCCGCGGGTGTGTGTGCAGGAGCACTGAGCCTCCTGGTGCCTCGCACACAGCAGCACCCATTGCCTTGCCTGGCATCTCTTTCACTTCCTCAAGGGAAGGAGGTAGAAGGGAGGCAGATGGCTTTCTGTAGGCTAGATGTGACCCACATCCTGTAACTGCACCATATGCAGACAGATGCATACAAAGTCTGGCTGCGTTCTTTATTCCTTGTTGCAAAACAGTTTCCTGCGTCGCTTAAAAGCTCATTCTAAAATCCTTCAGCATATTTGGGCTGAATTACAAGTTCCTACGGGTTAACTGCAGGGCACTGATTAAAGCTTCTCACTGAATGTATGTTCTCTGTGAAATGAATTAGCAGCCCTGTGAACTCCTACATCTCAGTGTTCCCAGCAGCGTGGCTTTGACAGTGAATATATAGCTGCTTGGTTGTTGGAATAAAGCGTGGGTTTTTATAGTAGGTGCTTTCAAGCAGGAATAGAAAGACTTGGTGCATTAAAATGTCAGCTGTAAGCAATGAAATATCAGTACAGCGTACTTGTAAATCAGTACATCACCTATTTGTCAATCAGCATACCACCTATTTGTGACTAAGGGCGACTCTTCATTAGTGGAAGCAGTTTGCTGGCAGCTGTGGTCCTGCCCATGCTTTGCCTTCCATCTCATTTGCCCATTTGCACTGTGCTGCACAGGGCAGATGAGCCTCGTCCTGCAGGTCCTGTTTGGATTGTGGAGGGCCGTCGTCAGCAGGCGACTCCGAGCCTAACAGCACCTGCTGCTTCCTGTGCAGGGGTGCATTCTGTGTTGGTGCAGGGGGTGAAAGTGCTGAGTGCTGCTGCCTGTTGGCCCTGCCTGCTGCTCACCGTGTGCTCTCTCTTTGCAGACCGCCGTTGATGTTTTTAAGAGGATAATTTTGGAGGCAGAAAAAATCGATGGGGCAGCTTCACAAGGGAAGTCTTCATGCTCAGTAATGTAATTCCACTGCAAAGCCTGAAAACAATGGGAATACATTCTACCTGAAGAAGCAAAACTGCCCTTTATCTTCAAGGATAAACTATGCTTCTTTTTTTTTTTTTTTCTTTTTTTTTTTTAATTTTTTAATTTTGTGGGTTTTTTTTTTCTTCTGTTAACCTGAGAGATACACAGTTGGTTTGGAGCCTTTCCCTTCAGATTATGTTAAACTCTGACTCCTGTGCAAATGGCTTCACTTCCATTTTCAAATTTTAAGCAATCATATTTTCAATTTATATATTGTATTTCTTAATATTATGACCAAGAATTTTACTGGCATTAATTTTTCAGTGTAGTTTGTTGGTTAGAATAATCATCAAAATGATGCATATTGTTACACTACTATTAACTAGGCTTGGATATCAGTGTTTCTTTGTGTTAAATGTATACTTGTAAATAAAATAGCTGCAAACCTTCGTGTTCTCCTTAACTTTGTGGTGGTTGCCCCATGCCAGTTTCTGTGTGAGGTGTTCACCTGTTGGCCTTAAGAGGAGCGTGCAGTGGCTTAGGAGGAAATCCCAACCACTTGTACTGCTGGAATTCCAAGGTGCCTGGATAACTCAGCTGGATTTTGTGCTGGTTATAGAAAGGAGATGCAAGGGACACCTTTGTGAGGGTGTCAGGGCAAGGTGTGGAAGGAGCAGCTGGATTTTGTCAAACAGCACTGCTTGTTCCTCTGTGTGACCGTGAGAGCTGCAGGCTGGAGGGCACGCATCTGTTCCAAGGAACAGGCTGACATGCAGCTGTGCACTCAGGTTGGAATGGATTTGGCCAAGTTAAACTTGCTAAGAAAACAAAACTGTTGTTTAAAATAAATTGCACGTCGAACAAATAGATGTGAGTTGCTTATCATGCATTTCTGTACTCATGCATCCAGCGAATGTGGACTCCCAGCACCTGGCCTTTCACCAAGGCCTGTTCCCAGCTGTCTTGGGCAGCTTCTTCAGTCTGGAGGCAAGCTACTTGAACTTGGTATTTGAGGAAAAACAAGTGCAGTTGGCCTACTTTGTGTAGAAGATGCTGATTTAGGGAGAGGTTTATTAAATTGTTTTTTATTTATATTATACTTTATTTTATTAATTGTTTATTAAATGTTTTCTCATACATTTGAGTCCATTGAAAAGTTTTAATTCTTGGCAGGAATAAAATAGAAGGGATACTTGCAGTGGTTCTGCAGCTAGACTTGGCTTTCGGTTTTCAGTCTGTGCTAAATGCTGCAGATGTGACAAGGCTCATCTCTGTGGGTTGTCCTCAGGCTGTTAATTGTCTGAACAATTAGCGTTTGTAGAAAAACTTTACTTTCAGGATTCAGAACCTGACCTTCAGTGGAACCCAAGGTGTGTGGAAGGCACCTTCCAGCAGTGAGGATCCTGGATAGCCTCACTCCTCTGTGCTTACTGAGTGTTCCGTGGGTTTGGCTCTTCAATATGAGAGCCCTAAATGGGTTGGTGCTCTTGGTAGCCCAGTGTTATGTATATAGAAGCAAGAACTCTGTCTAGCTTGCCTGGAATTCAGGGAGCACTGTGTGGCAGCTGCCTTCATCCCACCAGGGGTTCCCAAGAGCTGTGCTAAGTGATGCACAGCTTGTAAGGGAAATCAGGAAGGAAATGGCAAGTTCTCTGGGTTGGCTGAGATCCCACCTGTGTCACTGTGCCCCGTGCAGGTGCTGCAGGCACTGATCCACGAGGACCTGCTGGGCTCATGCTGCTAATTAATGCCACTGGGCTCTGGCTTTGCAAGGAGAAATCAGCAGGGTCTAATTAGTCCTTATGCAATCAGCACTGCTCATCCTCTGAGCGTGCTGCTAATGCTGGGTAAACCTCACAACCTCTTCTTAATGAGGTCAGCATCTCTCTCTCTCACAGCTGGGGAGAGGCAGAGACCCTTGCAGAGGTGTCTTCAATCCATGAGAATGGAATGGAACACACGACTGAGCATCAGCAATGCTGGCATTGCTGCCCAGAGAGCTGTGGGTGCCCCATCCCTGGAGGTGCTCAGGGCCAGGTTGGATGGGGCCCTGGGCAGCCCGAGGTGGTGATGGGCAGGCAGCCCACGGCAGGGATGGTAACTGGGTGGGCTTTGAGGCTGCCAGTCTGCCTTCTTATTGCTGTCTCTGTTCCAAATAATGATGTTAAAAAGAAATCCTTCCAAAAGAAGCAGCAAATGTGCACCACTAATCATCCAAAACCCTGCCAAGCAAATCTATTGTTTCACTGCCTGTCCCCAGTCAAAACCCTGTGCTCAGCAGCCCTGGGCTCCATTCTGCCAACTAAGCACAGCTGTGCAAAGCCCCAGCTCCCACTGCTTTGTCCCAAAAGCCCCGTGGCAGCAGCCCCACTGCCTGGCCCATATATAGCGGGGCAGCCTCGCGTGCTGTGGGGTTGGGTCAGCTTCTGATTTACAGTCCTGGAGAGCAGCCATCAGGAAATGTCTCAGTACTCAGGAAAAGTAAGTATGGCCTCAGGCTGGGACGGGCTGCAGTGGGGTGAGGGTTGGGTGATGTTCCACTCAGGTGCAGATTCAGTACAGCAGGGATGGGGAGGGTGTGGGGATGGGAGTGCATTTGGGAGCAGGGCTTTGTGTTTGAATCTTCGTGTTGGAAACCATAGAATGATTTGAGTTGGAGGGGACTCTTAAAGGCCATTTGGTCAAACCCCCCTGTAGTGAACACGGACACCCACAGCTCCATCAGGTGTTCAGAGTCCCGTCCAGCCTGACCTCGAGTGTCTCCAAGGATGGGGCACCCACCACCTCTCTGTGCAACCTGTGCCAATGCCTCACCAGAATGCTTGTGAGAGGATGGTTGCATGCTAGGAAAGAGACCGAAAACCAAGCTGACCCCAAAATGAGGCAGTGGTGAGAGGTTCCCGTTGGCTTGCAACTGAGATCCTCACCTCCATCCCCCTCTCCTCCCCACCCCAGATCACTTTCTACGAAGGGAAATGCTTCTCAGGCAGGAAGCTGGAGGTGTGCAGCACCTGCAGCAGCTTCCAGCAGCGAGGTTTCCCCAACCGTGTCAACTCCATCCGCGTGCAGAGCGGGGCCTGGGTCTGCTTTGACCACCCTGAGCTGCACGGGCAGCAGTTCGTGCTGGAGCACGGCGAGTACCCGCACTGGCAGCGCTGGAACGGCCGCGGCGACCGCATGGGCTCCTGCAGACCTGTGGGCATGGTGAGCAGCTCTGATTGCCCCAGGGGGTGGAGATACGAATCCGGGCGTAAAACACAACGGCACTGATGGGAACGGGGTTATTGCAGTGGTTTTTTAGAGGCAGGGGTTGCTCGTGGGGGGACGGGAGCGTGCATCCCAGGGGGTGCCAGGGTTGGATTGAGGGCTGTTCAGCTGGGTTGCAGCACACAGGTCTCCTGGTGCTGATCCCTCTGCTATGGGATGCGCCCCGAGCGCTCAGCCTGCAGCTCCTCACGCCTTCTCATTTCCCCAGGGGATATCAGCGAGTGCTCTGGGGGGTGTAATTCTCTGTGGCTTTTATTTTTGGTGTTGTTACTGACTCGGCGCCGTTGTCCCCAGCACGGGCAGCACTACCGCATCCAGCTGTTTGAAGGGAGCTGCTTTGGAGGCCGCAGCATGGAGCTCACTGAGGACTGCTCTTGTCTGCAGGGCCGGGGCTGGGAGCAGCCCCACGTCAACGCCGTCAGGGTGTACGGTGATGGCGCGTGAGTACCCACAGTGTGCTACAGCTAATGGGAACTGGGGAGCCTACAAGCTTGGTCAAGGCTGTGGTCAGAAGCACCGGGGATTTTGGTGCTTCTGATGCTGAGGGCGGAATGAGAGCAGCTCTAGTATGGGTATGAAATCATAGGGTATGATTTCAGGAGGGTAGAAGCTAAGCACAAGCTGCACGAACTTGGGGATGCATCCAAGGGGCTTGCAACCCAACACTCGGCCCATCCTTTCCCTTTTTCTCTTTTCCTTTCACATTTCCTTGTGTTTGTTTTCCAAACACCTCTTTAAAACCCATGTGAAACCTGCTGGGCACTGCAGTCAGGGCTTTCGCTTTCTAAGTGGCTTCCCCAGGGCTTCCCGTGACACCAGAAACCTCCTCCTTGGACAGCAAATGTGAGGCAGCAACACCTCGCCCTCACGTTAAATCCTTTTTCTTAAAGACAACAGCAGCTGCTGTGGTGAGGAGGTGGGATGCTGGGATCCCCCTGTGGAGACTTTGGTGCCTTGTGAAGCTGCGTTGTGGATGTATTGCCCCATCCTTCTGCCCCACGGAATTCCCAAATACTTCTGCAGGGCAGCAGCTCTGCCTTGCTCCAGCTGTTGGGTGGCAGAGTGCCCCAGTGCCGTTACATTTCGCCTGTCTTGCTGTATTTGCACATCTCACGTGATGCTGGGCATTGCAGAACAGGAAGAACTGTGCTGCACTCCAAGACTGCAACATCCTGACACTGGGTGTGCTGTGGAGCTTGTTTTGATTCAACAGAAGACCTTTCCATTTCATAAAAAGAAGAAAAAGAAAAAAACCAACCAACCACGCTTAGAATCATAGAATCACAGAATCCTTATGGCTGGAAAAGACCCTGAGATCACCAACTCCCACTCCATCCCACCATGCCCGATAACCACAGGTCCCTCAGGGCCACAGTTCCACGGTTCTGGAACAGCAGATGTCTTCATTGCCCACTCACAGCGTTGGTTTGTTACCACCAGGAGCTCTGGAGGGAAGAGCAGCCAGAGCCCAGCAGGGGCCCTGCACCATGTGGAGGACCGGTGCCATAAAGCCAAGAGCCCATGAGAGCTTTGGGACCAATGATTCACCATTCATGTCCCTGTAGCAGAGACCGGAGTCGGAGAAATTGGGATGCAGCCCAGAAACTTTCAAGCGCTTGAATTTTTCAGATTGATTTCCCCCTCCTTCCAATAAGGGCCACAAAGCTTTCTTTCCTTCGCATGTGAGTGTAGGTGTTTGCCTGCTTATGTTCACGTGATGGGACTTTTTGAAGGCTTTCTATGCCTTTGGCATTGCATGTCATAGGGCTTTTCTTTTGGGATTGAGGACAAGCAGACAGAAATGGTGCTGATGAAGCCGTGGAAGCAGTTCTCAAATGGAAGTGCTGTTGTGGGGCAGTTCTGAGGTGTCCCTGTCCCTTTAGCTGCACCTGCTCAATGGGAACTGTCTTTGGCCATCCAGCTTTCCTCAGGATCCGTCACCAGATGAACCAACACAGCACATCCCACCATGATGATGGCCCTTCTGCAGCAGAAGGGCTGGTGCTGTCCTTGTTCATTGCAGGGGAGCTGGAGCAGATGACCTTGAAAGATCCCTTCCAACTCGAATGATTCTGCGATGCTATGAAATAAAGGAAGGGCTAAGTAAGCACACAAGTCCTCACTCGTCACCTTGTGTGACCAATATGCCTCAGTCCCATCTTTCTGGTGTTCTTTGTGCTCCC